ACTTCCAGTACATACCCGTCCGGGACAACAACTACCACAATCTTCACCCCTGCAGGGGTGATGGTCCCTCGGGATCTGCCTAGGCATCTGCTTGGGCTCGTGCAGCGCGCGTGCAGCGCGCACAGGGGGATTTTCGACGAAAAACAAAAAATACCCTAAACATAGTCCAAACGTAATCCAAAAATAGTCAGGGAACTATTTCTATAGTATTTTTCGACCATTCTGGAGTATCTTTGGGGTATTTTTTATTCTTCGTCGAAATAGGGGGACAGGCCCGACATAACCCGAGTGGCCGCATGCCCTGGGAGGGAGCCCGCTGGGGGCATACCCGAGGAAGCGGTCATAGGGACAGCTGGGCCCTTCAAGACGCACCGCCCACGTCGGCCCCGGCGACGGACTCCGCGACAGACCATAGCTGTCCTTCAGTGTCAGACTGCTCTTTGCGAGAACTGGATAATTGTCAGTCGTGCGGCCTGGCACGATTGCTGATGAGACGCCGCTGATTGGAACGAGCTTTCCTGTTCCATTCCATTCTATCCCGGCAGCGGACACGTGGCTTTCAACGAAGCCGAAGAAAGCATACGAAGCCTTTGCTGTTTTATTCGATGAATCGCCCGCAGCTGTCTTTCATGCTGGTGACATGTGAGCCCCTGCCCATGGCTGCGGCTGCGGCGCCACCTGCTGAACCCGAGGAAAAGAAACACACAAACACAAGTAATCGTCGATTCCTCATAAAATATTGGAAAATATGGGAAGTGGGGGGGAAGGCAGAAACCCAGAAAATATGGGAAAATATGGGGAATCCGATTATTTGTGTGTATTTCTTTGTGTGTCCCAGGGCCCCTTCAGGGGCGTTCGTTAAGAAATGTGCCCAGGAGGCTTCAGACTCTGGAGGATTCCTTAATTGATGAGGGCGGCGGTGATATCCATGGCCGATCCGCGATTGGAGTTTCACCAGCTTCCAGACCCTGGGTTCCTTATCTAAGGGTTCCTTGTCCAATGCCCCCGAGCTGCTGGGCAGGGACTGCTGGTTCAGGAGCCGGTGCTGCTCCGGATGCTGACGATGCCGCTGCCGACCCGTTCACCGCTTCGGGCTCCCTGGGCTCCTCCTCTTTCTTGGCGGGCTCCTTTAAACGATCCCCATCCCCATCCCCATCCATCCCCTTCGAGACCCCCACCAAAATTACCCCTCCCAGTTGGGGATACACCCCTCGAAACCCGAAGGGAACGGCCCATATCCCCAGCTAGGGGGGTAAATCGGCCAGTGGGGCCCAGGCCACGCCGCTGGGGATGAGGATCGGTTAAACGATACTCATTATTGGCGGGCTCTGGGTCCTGGCGGCGCCTCGTGAACTGGATGCGGTCGTCGTGGCTATTCTTCAGCCTGTATATTGGTTTCCTCCGCCACAGCTAGGGTGTCCGCTGCGATCTTCTTCTCCTCGGCGTGCTGAATCGCGGTTCGCAACTTGAGTATATGGTTGGCGCATTGGGTGTGTTTGAAGTGTGCGTTCTTCAATGCCCCTGCTGCTCTTCGAACTGACTCAAGAGCATTACCGCCACTCGGGTCCACACCTGGGTCCACCGCGGTCCCGAGGGTGAGGCTCCTCTGCTGCAGCTGTTGCTTGAGCTGGGCGTCCGTGGTGGTGATCACGAGCTGCCTGAGCGTGGAGATCTCATCTGCTGCCTCCGACTTCTGGTTGTCAGACTTCTTGTTCGTTGTCTGCTTGGCCTTGGGCGTGTACAGCCGCACCTTGCGGTTGCACTTGGAGCACTTTCACTCGTTAGACAGGAGGGTGCAGTTCCATTCCAAGCGCACGCAGCCGTGGCATCGGCTCCATCCTTTCTCGTCAATCTCCGAATTTCGCTGAGAATTCGAGAAGATTGCCATTAACTCTCGCTTGTGTGACCGTGAGAGGCTTCCTCAAGTGGGTCTGGTACGGTTTGCCTCAAGCGCCTTCGTGCAGGCACAAGAGAAGGCCCAAGCCAAATGTCTGAGCCCAAGTGGCTTGAGGGAGGAGGATGTGGAGGAGGAGGAGGCGGATGAGGAGGAGAAAGACATTCTATGTTCGGGGAGGCGTGGGAGGGAATGGGAGGGCGGAGGAGGATGAGGGCGGACGGTGAGAGACGACGGGGGAGAACGGATGAGGGGTGGATGAGGGGGATGGGGGAGAGAACAGTGATGATGTGGAGGACGGGGCCATAGTGAGCCCAATGTGCATCAGCGATGCTGCAGATCACGCTCCCTTCCCACGCCCACTCCTTGCAAGCCGCTGCAAGCCCCCTTCTGCACTGCAAGAACCCCCCCCCTCCCCCTGAAAGACCCACAAGATTGGGCCTGTTATCCCGGCGGGAGCCCCGTTTCGAAAGAGCTGTGGTTTGCACGCTGGCAGTGCATAGCCAGGACCTCTACAGAGCGAAGGATTGCAAAAAAACAAAAAAACATTTGTTTTGCAGTCCTTTTTTTGGGGGGGGGGTTATTGCAATCCTTCGATCCTGCAGCCCAGCGGGCCGGCACGCGATACCCCACGGCGTGCGAAAACCGGGCCGCCCCCGACCCGTGCAGGTGTTGCACGCGTGCACGCGCGTGGCCGTGCGCTCGGAGGACGTGTTAAGCGATGGACCGACTACGGCCAGAAGCCGCCATAGATGTTACTTACGTGTGCTGAGGCGCCTGGCCTGTGCGAACAGCGTGGAAGGGGCAGCAGGAGGAGGCAACGTGGAACGGAACGCTGTTCCATGGCGCGATCGTCATCAGGGGCTCCAGGGGAACGATGTTCCATGGCGTGATCGCTACCAGGGACCTCAAGGGAACGATGTTCCATGGCGTGCGCCTGAGCAGGAGGGGAGCGTCACAGCCTGCCCGAAGGAGAAAACAACAAACACGGATGAGGGATGATGATGAGGAGGAGGAGGAGGAGGGATGCAGAGGATGAGGAGGAGGAGGAGGAGGAGGGATGAACAACAAAAAAGGATAAGGGATGAGGAGGAGCGATGCAGAGCTCGGCTCTCCCCGAGAGGAGTCCTGCCGCGACCAGTGCCCGCGCCGCGGCCGCCCTGCCCTCGACCAGGGGAGGGGGGGATTGGGTGGAAGGGGGCCCCTGGACGAGGGTGATGGCGAGGGTGATGGCGATCGTGGCGAGGCTGGTGGTGATGCTGCGTAGTGGGGTCGGGTGGAAGGGGGGGTGGGCGTGGAAGGGGGAGGGGGAGGGGGGGTGGGGTGGAAGGGGGCCCCTGGACGAGGGAGGGCAAGGGCGATGGCGATCGTGGCGAGGTTGGTGGTGATGCTGCGTGGTGGTAGTGATGCCGCTGATAGTGACACTGCTGACTGCCGGGGATGATGAAGCTGATGCGTTTGACGGTGACGACGCTGATGATGATGATGCTGATGATGATGTTGATGATGATGACGATGATGATGTTGATGATGCTGATGATGCTGCTGATGATGCTGACGATGCTGGTAATGACGGTAATGATGATGGTGACGGTGATGATGCCAATGGTGATGACGGTGATGATGGTACTGATGATGATGTTGATGGTTATGATGACGATGGTGATGATTGTAGCGATGTGGATTGTTAAGGTAAGGATGAGGACGACGACGATGATAATGAGGGTTCGGATGGTCACGATGGCTCTGCTCATGCTTGTGATGATGGTCACGATTATGACGCGGTGTATGGCGATTATCCTTGTGGCGATTGCCACGTTTGGCGGCGATGATATCGATGTTGATGGGATGCGAAGGGTGATGATGATGACGACGAAGACCATGATGTTGGTGATGATGATGATGATGATGATGATGATGATGATGATGATGATGATGATGATGATGATGAATACGATAACGATGCTGACGATAATGACGATGGTGATGGCTGTGCTTGACATTGTTATGATGGCGAGTCTGCCGATTATGATGTTGGCGATGAAAATGGTGATGGTGCCGACGATGATGATGCTGCTAGTGACGAGGATGATGATGACGGTCCCGAGGACGATAACGATAATGACGGTTATGATCAGGGTGACGATAAAGAGAATGATTAGGATGCGGATGATGACGACGATCATGATGCTAGTGACAGTGCTGATGGCGAAGAGGATGAGGACGTCCACGACGATGATAGTAAGGATGACGATTCTGATGATGATGATGATGATGATGATGATGATGGTGACGATGGTGATGCTGACGATGATGATGCTGATGATGATGATGATTATTATGATTACGTATGGTAGCGATGATTCTGCGGCTGGTGATGACGGTGATGAAAGTGTGTTCGTAAGGGCTCTGATGTTTATGGTGATAACAATGATAAAAGTAATAACGATGATGACGGTGATGTTGATGATGATGACGATGGTGATGAGGATGATGATGAAGATGAGAGATGATGATGATGATGATGATGATGATGATGATGATGATGATGATGATGATGATGATGATGATGATGATGATGATGATGATGATGATGATGGATGATGATGATGATGATGATGATGATGCTGATGATGATGATGATGATGATGATTATGATGATGATGATGATGATGATGATGATGATGATGATGATGATGATGATGATGATGATGATGATGTCGATGATGACGATGAGGATGACGATGAGAAAGAGCGTCTTCTGAGTTCGCTGGGAGGAACTCAGAGGGGAAGGTCTGGACCAGCCCCCCACCTACAAAATCGGGGCAGGGGCGGGGGGGGGCAGGTTCGGACCGCCCCCCCCCGGCGCCGGCCGTCCAACGACGACGAGGGCGACGGGGACCACGACTTTGCAGACGTCCAGCGCCTGCAAGCCACGACAGCGACGACGCGACCGACGACGACGACGACGACGTGTCCCGCCCGCCCGACTCGCTCACGACGACGACGGCGGCGACGATTGCTCCGGCGGCGATGGTGACGACGCCCGGCGCTTGGAAACGACGACGACGAGGAGGGCGATGACCACGACGACCACGGCGAGGTCGGCGACGGCGTGTCCTGCCCGCCCTCCCGACCGACTCGACTTCGACGGCGACGTGTCCCGCTCGCCTGCCCAGCAGACGACGACGACGACGTCGACGACGACGACGACGACGACGACGAGGACGGCGACGACGACGACGACGACGACGACGACGACGACGACGACGACGACGACGACGACGACTACGACGACGACGACGACGACGACGGGGACGGCGACGGCGACGGCATCGAGGACGGCGACGGCGACGATGACGGCGACGCCAACGGCGACGGCGATGGCGACAGCGAAAGTGTTGGCGACGACGCCAACGGCGACGGTGATGACGGCGGCGGCCGCGGCGACGATGACGACGACGACGACGACGACGACGACGACGACGACGGGGACGGCGACGGCGACGGCATCGAGGGCGGCGACGGCGACGATGACGGCGACGCCATCGGCGACGGCGATGGCGACAGCGAAAGTGTTGGCGACGACGCCAACGACGACGGTGATGGCGACGACGCCCGTCGCGACGAACGACGGCGACGGCGACGACGTCGACGTCGACGACGACGAGAACGGCGACGACGATGACGACGACGACGGCGACGGCGCCTTCCACGTTCGTCTGGTCCGATCCTCGGCTTCGACTACATGGATCTGCGGCGGCTTCGCGAAGATGCCCCGCGCGGAGCGAATCCATGGGATCGCGTATCCATGGGGTCGCGCCTCGGTGGCCAGGGCACGGATATGGACATGTTCGTCGTTCGCGACTGTCGCGGAGGGGGCGGAGGAGGGATATAGCGTCGGCGGCTCCCAGCCAGCTGCCTCGACGCTCCATGGGGCTCCGGGCTTCCAGGACCTTGCCCCAGCAGGCCCAGAGCCGTACCAGACTGCCACCAGACGGGCCAGGAAAGCCTCAAGAGGCCCCCATTGCGGGCAATAGTTATATCCACATCCAATGCGTTTTGGAGTCTTGGGCTCTCTTCCCCAGAAACCGTAGACGCACTGGATATGGATAAAAATCTGGCCCGAAGAGGCTTGATTTTATCCATATCCAGTGCGCCTCGGCGTTGCGGCACCTCTTCCCGAAAAGTCCAAGACGCTCTGGATATGGATATAAATACTGCCCGCACCCATGACGATCCAAGAACTCCCGGCATCGCGAACAGAGGCGCTTATTAACCCGCGCCAGATGGACTCCTGACGGCCCGACAGGCCTCCAAGACGCCCCAAGATGCCTCCAAGAACACCCCCACGAGAGCCCAGGAACCAATCATTTCCAATTCGTATTCGTTCTCTTCAGCGATATACTTGTTTATTTATACACGCGCATAAAGATATAGATGCTCCCACTTTGCCTTCCTGGCTTCCTCCACTCTCTAAGACGGCCCAGGAGGCTCCCAAGGTCGCCCCAGGACCGCCTCAGACGCCCCCCTGAGGCTGCCGATGCAGCCGCTGGCGGCCCCCAGACGGCACACGAGGCGCCCCAGAGCTTGGCATCGCTCGGACGTGTGCATTTTTCCTTCGGCGAGGACCATCGAGGAGCATCCTGGATCATTTGGCGAAAAAACCACGCGCGGAACCGAACAAAAACACAGGGAACGGACGTCCGAGCGATGGCGAGAGAGGCGCCTCAGACGGCCCCCCAGACGGCCCAGGAGAGCCCCCGAGTGGCCCCCGGTGCGCTCCAAGAGAGTATCCGAGAAGGCCTTGCCTTCCGTCGCTGAGCGAGGCGCCCGACGCGCCCCCAGACGGCCCA